CGTACATTTTACTTTGATTATATTTTAGCCTTTGGAAGTCTTATGAAGATTCTTTAGCACTATTTTGCTTTTGCAAGTGTACTGGTTAACAAAATAATTTTGAAGAGACTCTAATATCAAGTTTGTGTTATAAAAAAATTTAAAACTAAAAGCTCTAGCAGGAAGGAGGGAGGGTGTGTACGTGTGTGTCTATCTGTCTGACTCCCTCCACGCACATGTTGCAGAATCCCTGAGATAATTATACATGATGCATGCGTTAATAGCATTTGAGTTAGACATCATTTTGTTCCTCTAACTGCATTTCAGTAGTAAAATACTTCATCTTGAAATAAGCCTGTTTTGAGGGCCAAAGTTCCTTCTTTGTGTTAAAGAGAATCAAATAAAAAAATGTGTACACTCCAAATAAAAAAATTACACAGATTTGGCACTTACACAGAGTAAAGCTTCTAAGATCACCTGCAATATTAAACGGACTTAAGACTGTTGAAAAACAAGACAGTGAGTTACTGGATCTGTGTTTAATTCAGTGCATTTTATAACATATTTAAGGAATTCAGCTGTATAAAACAGTATCTGAATCTTATCAGATAAAAATATTTTTCCCTTTTTTGCAAGTCTCAGATTGCATGACTGAGAAAACAAATTAGTCTCTAGTTCTCCTAGGCTTGATAATAGTGCCCCCTAATGGGAATTTTAACATGAGTTTTTCTATTTCTTTGAAAAGGGACACATTCTCTACTGTGAGCAGTTACTCACTTTTAACCAGAAAGTAAATGCTGTAATAAAAAAGTGTGTGAAGATTTAAACCTCTGACAGGACAGTTACCACATCTGTAAAAACAAATTGTAAATTAATCAAGAGAAGCAAACCAGAGAAACTTCACAGAGAATCGTTTTCTAGGTGGTGGTGGTTGTTTATTGCCATCAAGTCGAGCACAACTCATAGCGACCATATGAACAAAAGGCCCTTCTATAACTATCATCATTTCTCCAAATTCACAGAGTTTCCAGAAGCATGGGTCATCAAATTATCCTACCATAATCCATGGGAACACTGTCCAATGAATTAATGGTTTGAGGAAATTTCCTTCTCACTGTTTTTAGTACTCAGATAGGCATTAACAACCAAAACTTCCTGCCATTGAGTCAAATCCTGACACTGAGGGACCAGACTGGCCAAACAGAACTTCCCCCGGTGACTTCCAAGGGAGTCAATTTCTGCAAAAGCAAATGGCCTCATCTCTCTTCCCCAGAACAGATAATGGGTTTTAAATGCCATCTTGCAGTTAGCAGCCCTTAACCACTGCACCTTCTTGGAAGTTACGTTCCCAAACAAATCAGTCTCTAGTCTTCCTAAGTACAGAGCTGGGATTACTAAGTTTGTGTACCTCACGTGTTGTTAGGTGCCATCGAGTTGAGTACGACTCGTAACGACCCTATGAATATCAGTTCTGAACCCTGTCCCATACTGTGCCATCTTCACACATCCTGACACACATGAGCCCATTTGTGGCAGTCATCGTGTCAATCCACCTGCTTGAGGATCTTTCCTCTCCTTTACCAACCCTTCACCTTTCCAAGTGTCATGTCTCTCTCCAAAGGAACAGCAACATGCCGAAGTATATAAGGCAAAGTCTCCAAGAGCACTCTGGCTGCACTCTCTCCAATACATATTTGTTTGCTCTCTTGGCCATCCAGGAGGGCTATTCAGCACTCTTCTCCAACACCACAGCTCAAAGGCATCAATTTTTCTGTTGTCCCTATGTTATCAAATTGGTTATGACTCCCAGAAACCTCCTAAGAAAAGGTGCAACTGTCCCACTCGGCTTTCTTAGCTGTAATTTTTATAGAAGCAGACTGCCTGGTCTCATCCCTGAGAGTCACAGGACAAATGAAGCCACATCCTGAGTGCTTGTACTATTACCTTTCTACAGGGGCTGGTCACAAGCCCACAGCTATGATCTTAGTTTCTTTCTTCCCTATAACGTACAGTTCCTCTAAACATCAACCACATAAATATGTGATTTTAAAGGGGAGAAATATATTTAAAAATTAAGGTCAAAACTACCTATTCCAATACACTTTCCAGGTATACTAGTGAAATAAACACCCTCTAATTGTAAGTATTTTCATTTCCGTGTCCACAATACTATCTGGACTCAATATCAGAGTTACGTTAAAGGCTATATCCCAAAGAAATACGCAACCACAACAAAAGGTACCAATTTACCAGGATTGTCAATTGAAAGAAAAGGAAATCTTTGAAAATGGCATTCTTTTCTCCATTTATGATGTTGGGTTTTGGTCCAGCTGTGATAATCCTAGTCTTTATGGTGAGGTATAACCCAATTCTGAATACTGTAGTCTCTGACTTTCATCAGTAAGTGCTTCAAATATTTTCTCTTTCAGCAAGCAAGGTTGGGCCATCTGGTCTTTAGCATGATTTAAAATAATCATCATACAGAACTTGTCGAAGATGAACCCATAGAATGGAAAAATATTTTTTATGTAGGTTTGCTAAATATCTAATTATAACTAACTACACATAAATGTCCATTAAAAAGCAAGTAAGTAAATGTATCAGGTAAAAGAAAATAAAATCCAAACCTACTACTCAATACTCAACTACATCGGGAGAGCTGGTTGCTTAGTGCTAAGGAGTTACATGAAGAAGCAAAGGTTTGAAGCCACTAGCTACTCCATGGAAGGACGGGCAGTCTCCTACAATGTGATTTATAGCTTCTGAAAACCTGCTGGAGGGTCAGCTATGAGATGGTACCTACACGAAGGTAAACATTTAACTATATAAAGAAACACAGGTTATTATCTTAAACTTTCAGACATGGAATAAAGCTAGCACCTCATTAGTTCCTAAAGCGAAACCAAGAGAAACAAAATTTGTTTTGCACAGTGAATAATGAAGACTTACACTCAACACTCTTTAGCCACTGGCTCACACTCCGTGAAGTATTTAATGCAATACAATACAGCAAATAAAACAGCCATGATATTTGGACCAAGCAGCTGCAGATTTCAAACAATTTGATAGTTATGTGATTTCAGACAAGTTACTTATGACATTACGCATCAGCTTTGTAAAACTGAACAAGATCTCCAAAGGTGGTAACAAGGTTCTATTGCAATGTGCACACTGTACACAGCACTCAGTGTCCAGGAAGAGCCAAAAAGAACTGATGTCTTTGAATTGTGGTGCTAGTGAGCAATACTGAATATTCTATAAACTCTCAAAAGAAAAAATAAATCTGTTTTGGAGGAAGCACAACCAGCAAGGATGGTGAAATTTTGAACACGTTGCCAGAAGGGGTTAGTTCTTGGAAAAAGACATTATGTGGGAAAAGCAAAGAGTCAGAGAAAGATCCTCAAAGAGACAGACTGACACATGACTTAACAATGGATTTGAGCATGGCAGAGACTGTAAGGATGGCACAGCACAGGATTCAGATCTGTCCTATCAAGATCCGTTATGGTCCAAGGTTCTACTGTTGGATGCTTGTCAACTCAACAGCACCCAACATGTAATGTCCAACCACTTGGGTTGTATTTTGTAATCTTAAATTGAACTCTCTCCTCATTTAAGCAATGTTATATCACTTTTAATGAGCTTCTTAAGCTAAGCTTCATGCTAGTACAATCACATCCTAGTCTATTATATCTGGTACATAAGAGCATTCAGCCTGGAGTTAAAGAGGTTTGCTATTGAAATCGCACTGAACAGTATTTCATGTTCATATTCAAAACTTAAAATTCTCAATATGAATTATAGTATTTCAGACTAAAAATTGGAAGTATGGACAAGAGAAAGAAAATAAAGCAATAAAATTATAAAGGAAAAATAGCATACTACCAACGGCTTTTTTATATAAGGAAAAAATCCAGAAAGCCAAAATCAAGCACCAAATTGTAGCCTTGGATGGTTTCTAGAGTATCATTAATACAGAACTTATTTATAAGCCCAACCATCACAAACAACAAAGGCTCTAACCTTGATAAGAACACAATCTGTATCTCCTATATGTCCGAAGGATTATAAGAATGTGAAGTTAAATTAGTAAGATGTATTTTATCAAAACGTAAAGCAATTAGTTTAAACAGCTGTACATAAAATCAGCTCTGGAAGTTCAGACAAATTAGTAATGATTTCTACAAGGTTAAAAAATTAAGATTTCAGGGTGATGGGTCATAGACTTTGGTATTAAGTTTTTAACAATTATAGATCTTTGATAGCAAGGCAACATCATAGTATAAAAACAAAATTATTCTAAAACCAATTGAAATTGTTTCTGACATGCTTGTTTGTTGCTGTTAGGTACTGTCAAGCCAACTACGACTCACAGGGTCCCTAAGAACAACAGACCTGAATCCTGCCCGATCCCTGCCATCCTCACCATCTCTGATACACCTGAGCCCAATGCTGCAGTAGTCATGTCAACCCATCTCGCTCGAGGGCTTCCTCTCTTTCGCTGACCCTTCACCCTTCTAAGCATGAGATCCTTTTCCAAGGAAAAGCATCTCCTGGCAAACACGGTCCAAAGTATGAGAAAAAGCTTTGCCATCCGTGCCTCTAAGGAGCACTCTGGCTGCACCTTTTCCAAGACGTACCTGTTGGTTCTTTTGGAGTCTTTTTTTCGTAGGCAAACTCAATTCATCTCTTCATAAATAATGATTGGGTCAAAATACCAATGACAGAAAGGGATGCATATGGGTCACACTGATGACGTTTACCCTTCACAATGTTAAGTGTTTTGGCAAACTAATTTCATAATGGAAAATCAGCTATCCAAACTAACATGAATTTCAATAAAGGATAAACTAGGAGTTTAATAATTCCTCATTTCACAAAACTTGTCTTTTTCTAAGAAAATTAAGTGAACTAAATCAGCCTTAATGAGAATCTTAGCAAGAGATTATCAGACTATAGCGATAATTGCATTACTATCCACGTGGAGGTGCTCCGAAGATATGCTTGAGAAACGCCCCTACCTTCATCAAACTCAGCATCCTCCTCTGTATGCTGGGGGAAAGGAAAGCAGTTGGTAATTTCAAGCCGATCTTCCACAACCAGGCCCAAAAGCACTCCTTGAACAACTTCTGTTCCTTGTCCTTCTTCTTGATAATGTTTTATTATTTTTAATACCACCTAAAAGAAAATTAAAATCCATTTTTACGGTTTCCATTTCCTGTACAGCTGAGAAGGGGGAAAAAAACACAAGCCACACAATTATAATAGTAAGAGTAACCAAATTTCAGGGAACGCTGGTGACCTAGTGGCAAGAAGCTGTGCAATCCTGAAGGTAGGCAGACAGAATCCATGAGACGCTCCACTGGAAAAGGAGGGATATCTCCTCCTGTGCCAGACGGATCCAAAATATCCTGCAGCACAAGAAACAACTCCTACATTGCTCTCTCCTCTAGCAATTCAAAAGACAAAAGGTGGTAGCATGTATATGGCTCAAAAGACAATTTTCTTATAAGTCCATAATAACAGCAAAAGCAGAATGATTAATTCATTCATTCCTATAACACAGAGTGGTTAATATGTAGATGATTTAAAAAGTAATTGATAAATAGCCTTTTTTAAATAAATAGCTATTTCTTAACAGTATTGTTATCATTATTTAACATAAAAGCCCATGACTAGAAAATGGAAAGGTTTCTGAATACTTAATACTGTTGATAAGATCATTGACCCACAGCTAAAATCAAAGGCAATAATCAATGAAATAATGGAAAGGCCTCAGAAGGAAAATAAATCTAATAAATAAAATGAATGCTTATTAATATTTCATGGAGCCAAAGTTCCATTTATTCATTTACTATCCATCCATTCTTGATAGAAATGACTAATAATCATTTAATAATAGCATATCACATGTCTTAAACATCTTGTGCCAGGTAAGATGCTAGTATTTTATTAGTCAAATTGTGCAATTTTTATAACCACTTTCTAAATTATTATATTCATTTTACAAATAAGAAAATTGAGGCAGAGAAAATTAAATGACTAAAGATCACACATCTAGGAAGGGGAGGACCTAAGATTTAAAATCCAGTCAAATTCCAAAGCTTGTGTGTTTGCTTTAACTTTTGTAATGAAAAAATTCTTTTATCCTCAGTAAATTAAGATTTACAAGAATGAGAGATGAACAGACACAAACAGACTTCACAGGTATATGAGACAATTCTTCTAAGTACAGCAAGCAATCAATGGGGAAACTCCCTTACCACAGAGCCGCGCCAACTGGTAAGACTGACAGACCTTCGATCTAGTGAAATGAAGGAAGTGTACAACCTTACACGCTTTCCTGCCTACTTAAAGACATGCAAATAGGCTTTAGAGTCACACAAGAATAGGGGTGGGTACTAGGTCTGATTTTTACTATCAGTGACCTTGTTGTTGTTGTTGTTATGTCAAGTCGTTTGCGACTCATAGCGACCCTATGTACAACAGCCCTCAACTCTGCTCTATCCTGTGCCAATCGCATTGCCTGACACACCCATCCCAATTACCCCAGTCACTGAATCAATCCACCTCATAGAGGGTCTTCCCCTCCTGTGCTGTCCCTCTACTCTACCCAGCATGATGTCCCTCTCCAAAGACCTGTCTCTCCTTACAACATGCCCAAAGTATGTCAGACGAAGCCCCAAGCTATTTTACCTTCTCTTTATTAATTTACAAAATTATTTTATAACATAAAAATTAGATAATGTACAGAAATGCTTCACCCAGAGCTCATCAAGAGCCAGTGCTCACAAATATTCAATATTATTGGTGCTGCAACTAAAAAGAAAACACACCTATTTAGCTCCTTTTCACCTCTACCAAGGAAAATTATTTCCACATTAAAAAAAACAACACTAAATATAAACAAAGTGACAAAGAGAGATACCACCAACCAATTCCAAATCAATTTCTTCACATCACTTAGTTCCTTGGTTCCTGAGTTCCTGGACACTTAACACTTCATGTATTGACGAAATCACTGAACCAACTGCTTGAACCAAAGTGAACAAATGAGAAGTGACAGAAGACAGATGAGCTCTGCATGTATCCTTAGAGAACTCTTTGGTGACTCCCACGCGTGTAAAAAAGAATACTGACATAGTTTTAAAACAAAGTCAGGCCAAAATAACGTGATTTCCCTTGAGAAATAAAACACTGTTGTTATGTGTGACACCTAGTTGACCCTCTGGTGGGTTTTCAGAAACTATAATACACACAGGAGGAGAATGACTATCTTCCTTGGACCAGCTAGTGATTTTGAGGCACCTGCTTCTGGGCTGGCAGTGCAACTCCTTATCTACTCTTTGCCCACAAGAGCTTTCTTCATATTTCTTTCTATAACATAGCATTTGGGGGGCGGGGAGGTGATAGCATGTAGAGGCCTCTCCAAACACAGAGGCCTCAGAAGCAACTCAGGGCCACTAGCACTTCAAAATACATTCTAGCAAATATTCCACAAGCTCATTATTGTAGAAATAAAACAGGATGAGAAAAAAAAAAAAATACCCTGTTTACTTAAATGTATATGAACTTCGATAAATGACGATAGTTATAGGAAGGCTTTCAGGCCTTTTGTTCATAGGGTTGCTAAGAGTGGTGCTCGACTCGACAGCAGTCAACAACATCACAATTCAAAAGCTCTTATATTAAAACCATGTCTTAATGTTTAACAGGATTGTTGCTGTGATATTTTGCTGAGTCAGAAAGGACCCTTGAACAGGTTTTCAGAGGCCGTAAATCATGTGGAGCAGCTGGTGGAATGGCAGCGCACCTTATTAGCCATGAGGTCACCAGCACATCACGGATAGCATGTCTGCCCAAAAATCCAATGCCATTTTACACAGCACCAATATGAGCAGAGCTCCAAATAAAAGAAACTATCATTCAGCCTCACCCTTTTAAGCATCCCTGAATTCCTGGTTCAGTTCTATGAAACGGGAAAAGACAAATCTTACCAGTGAAAGCATTCCATCAAGAAATGGAAACAATTATAGCAGTCTATTTGCTATGGACCAAGCCAAATCCTTTATTGTCGAGTGGGTTCTGACGCACACGATCCTCCATCAGTGTTAGAGGTTGTACATCCTTAAAGAAGGTGGACGATAGTCTTGAATTGTAGACCTCTTGGATAGCAGTTCAATACACTACACAGTACATCACCAGAGCACCTGACCTGCCTTAGACAATCAACTTAATAATATAGATAGTGTTATTACAAGAGAAGCAGAGAATATTGTGATACACTAGTTCAATGAATTCACATCTGTCCCTTGCTGGGGACACTCCAAATAGCTGAAGGGAATATCAGGAGGCTGCGTCTTATTTTAACATAAGGCAAGACCAAAGATGAATGTCAGGAAAGAGGATCTCCATCTGAAGGGTGAATTTTTTCAGCATTTAGGCATGTCTAAGCTAGGAAGGGGGTAAATAAGCCTTCAGCAAAATCTCAGTTAATCACTAAAATAATCTTCAATTCTAATATTTAGGATCTTGCCTTTGTATAAATACTGATGAAATAAAGCACTCAGGGGAAAAAAGAATAGAAAACCATTATTATCAAAACTAAGCTAACTCATTCTTCATTTTGACAGCTTCTGATCTTCTCATCTGCTATATCCACACACCAACACTTCAACAGTTCTAAATGTAACACTATAGAACAGCATTATAGACTGGAGTAGAAATCATTTAGGTGTCAAAAGCAGAGTAGACTCCTGGCCAGAAGAAATTAATTGGCATGCATACTTTTGAAATTAACCAAGAACTTTCAACATATGTAAAAATGCTTATATATTATTGGTATCTGTTATAGACCGAATCCTATAATCTGTTCATTGCCTCCCCTTTTAAATTACCTTATGAAAACAGAGGGATGAGTTACTCGCTACCACAAAATTCAACACAGATACTGTCACAAGATATTCAAAGCATATTTGAATGAATGGTAGATATCTACTTATCACTCACACTATGTCAAATACTCCACACAGTGCCTTATGTGCTATGACTCGTTAAATCCTCACAACTTTATAAGGTCAGTAATAGTAATTTCTCCCCACTACAAATCAGAGAAGATACAAGCTGACGCATAAGTATTAAATCATGGCGGTCAAATCTGACTTCTGACTCCATAGCATTTTAATCATTTCTCCATGACAGTGATTTTAGATGCTCCAGGCATGTTGACAATGTCAAGGCTGAAGTAACTTAGAGGCAACAGCAACAACGCTGGAAAATGCCTCTGAGTTGAGGCTGGAGAAGGAGGGCTGCCTGCCTGGTGTGACGGTAACACAGGCTACAGGTTATTCAGGCAGCAGCAGGCTAGGAGGGAACAATGATGGTTATCAGAATTTTATGCCCTTGTTCCTAGACGCCAAGTAGCATCAATAAGAAGCTGTCATTTAGCTGTAAGAATGCAAGACAGCTTCCAACTTTTAACAGCACTATTCTCACAAACCACAAGATGGGAATGTTCCCCCACAAAGCTCTTGTTTCAGTCCTGTGCACTGTCTCTCCCTCCCATCAGCATGTGCCTCTGTCCATGAAACAGTGCTGATACCTATTTCAGTCTCTTTATTAATTTCATGCTAACTTTGTTCATACTTTTATAAACATAAATAACGTTTTTAATAGCTCTCCAAAACAAAAACACAACTCATTATTTTTGTTTATACGTGTACAGAGGAGTCTACATACGCAGAAACCCTCGGTACTTATTCTTAGTTTACCAAAATGGCCTGCGTAGCACTGGTAGGTAAAAATAGGTCTTGTGGGCCAGTTTCTTAATGTGGTCCTTCTAATTAACCTTTAGGGAGCTCTGGTAGCCTAGTGGATAAAGGATTTGTGTAAATAGGGTACATGGCACCCCAGTGGAACTCTTGTTGTTGTTCTATGCCGTCAAGCTGAGTGTGACTCAGTGGCGCTATAAACATTTCTGAACCCTGCTCTATCCTGTGCAATCCTCACTATCTCCTACACACCGGAGCCCACTGTTACAATTACGTCATCTATCTGGTTTAGGTTCTTCCTCTTTTATGCTAACTTGCCATTTTTCCAAGCACAATATCCTCCTCCAAAAACTGGCTCTTTCTAGAAACATGTCCGAAGTCTGTGAGTTAGTGTTTTCATCTTCGCCT